ATACTTAAAATTGAGCCAATGCAACTAACATTTCAAAATCCAGTGTAGTAATCAGAGGTTTCCAGCACATATCAGAGCAGAATAATAAGAACGATGGGTGAGAACTCAGGAAGGCAGACAAGTAACCACCGAGAAAGGAGGAGAAACCAGAGTGTGGTCACAACCAGCAGGAACTGCGTGGTGATGGCCCAGCGGCTCCTCGCCCGGAAGCCAGGAAGTGGGACAGGGCTGTCTCCCTGCCTGCCCGCAAGCAGCCTCAGGCTCCCGCGAGTCTCCAGGTGAGATCAGCAAGGACTGCAACCCCCGAAGCAGTTGGCACCCCGGCACAGGTGCCCCGGACACCTGTCAACGGCCCTCGGAAGAGGCTTAGAAATGGACAGCACCCCACCAACGTGCACCCCACCTTGCCAGGGAGTCCATACCCCTCTCCCAAGGACAAGGGGAGAGACCCCATGTCTCCACTTACTGACAGCTGAATACAATGCAGGACACTGTGGTATTTGCCGTCACCACCCTTCAATACACAAAACAGAAGAGAACATCTCTGGAGGAACGGATGAGAATCTGCTCACACCGGAAGCCTCAGGAAGACAGAGGATGAGGAGGAGACAAGTCAGAGGGGACCGATCTGCTCTGCTTTCAGCTGTGCTGCTGAACACTTACCACATGTGCCCAGCACGGACTAATCAAGTCTACATACACCACACACAACAACAGCAGTTAATGAAACAGAAAGGAGAGAGATTTAAGTTAAAAAGTTCTTTGAAAAGACAAAACTGACGAACTTCTAGCAAGACTGGTTCACAAAAAGAAAGAGAAAGCACAAACGTAAGGGATCAGATTTGTATGTGCAGGTACGATAAGAAGTGAAGACATGGCCTCCACACAATTTCATACCAGGAACTCTTAACAATTTCTCAGAATATAATTCACCAAAACTCACTGGAAAAGAAATGGAAAACCTCTTACCCACGAAAGAAACTGAACCAGGAGTTTGTTTCCCAGAGATGTGCTCAGCGGGAGTGGGAGAGACGGTGGCAGTCGGGAGGGACTGCAAGGCCGGAGGCGGGTTATTTGAAGAACAGACAATTCTAGAGCATCTGCACTCTCTTGGGCATGAGCCAGGACAGAAGACAAGATCTACGGTGCATAAGGAGAAAAGACTAACCTAAGCAGCAAAGCCCTGGAGAAGACCAAATAGGAGAGGCCCCTGAAAGCCCCAGGGAGGCGGGCCTCCCCCGACTGTAGCGGTAGAGGGGCCAGGGTCTGAGTGTCCACTTCGATCCCTTCCCTGGAGTGTGAGGGTCAGCAGCAGCTGAGCTGAGCAGGGCGAAGAGGGTGTGTGGGGTTTGGGAAGAAAGGAGAAGGGAAGCTTCACGCCCTTTTGCGGTCAGGTACAAAGCCAGAGCAACACACTGGATGCCCATCCCCAGCCAGGAACCACGATGTCAGTGGGCAGCAGAGAGCCAAGGCCCGCGGTGTTCCCAACAACACTCCACCAGGTGGACGGAGGGGCAGTGCTGAGCCAGGTCCCAGGCAAAGGACTCATGGGGCTTTGGGCTTTGCAAGCAAGTGATGCCAACGCTGAGTCCTGGCACTCTGGCTGTGGTAGGAGAACAGTGCAGTCAGAAGGACCTGCCGGTGTGAACGGGATGTCTGCAGGGAAGACTTCCTGGGTGTCCAGGCACGACAAGGTCTAGGAATGGAGGAAGTCTACAGCGTCGAACTGTAAAGGCAGGGTGCTGGGCAAAGTTTTACTGATATTCTACCAGGATCTGTAATACCTGAATGCTTACCTAGAAAAGAGCAAATCTGCTCCACTTCCACTGTGTAACTCAGAGCTCCTATCCTGACAATGAGAAACTCCCAACTCCGGGCCCACCAGAGAGCTCAGGCGACCATAAGAGCTGGACAAATGCACAGAGCCCCTCTGAGGACAAGGGGACACATGCACCGCTTCACCTTTGGCAGAGGAAGGAACACAGCCTTTGAAGTGGGTCAGAAAACAACGACACTTGGAATGAGCCCTTTAAGGTTGAGTGTGGCCAGTGTGACCTTGCCGGGCCCAACCCTTCTCTGGGAGGAAGCAGCTCCTGCTGTGGGGGCGGCAGGTGCCCTCCACCTGGGGCACAGGCCTGATCCACTGACAGGAGGGAACCAAGCTCTCCATCGTGGGAGAAAGACAAAGGTCAGCCACCCTGGGGAGGCGGCAGGGGATGTGTCCCATCCAAGATCCCTAGAGATACGGGCAGACTCTAGCTTATATCGGGGGAGGGGGTGCGGATCACTGGGAGAACTGCACCCGATGCCCCAGGCACAGGGTTGCCCCAGGTTCGGGCTGAACAGGGGTGGGCAGAGGGGTAGCCAGGCAGGGAAAACACCATGGTGGGAGGCTAGTGCTGAAGGGGAATAAGGGTGGCCCACCACCACACAAAGGGGGCGGGAATGTGAAGGGAGACCCCTCCCCGGCCCACACAAGCACCAGGGTGCAGCACACATCGCTAGAGAAGTGAGCGTGTGGGGCAACAAGAGCAAAGCCAGGCCGGCTCCAGTGCTGACCGGACTGACCCAGCCCCCCAGGTTTGTGGGGTGCATGACTGCTGAATAACTGCACCCCCGGGCCCTGCGATCTCCTCCATGTGCTGCTTGGCATCCCACCAAACCGTTTGAGAGAAACAGAAAGCAAGAACCAACAACACTTAAGGAAGAACTAATACCAATTCTACACAAACTCTCCAAAAAAGAGATGAAGCAGGAACACATCTCAACTCATCATATGAGGCCCTGAAAGACATTAAAGACAAGAAGACTTCAGGCGAACATCCTTCATGAGCACTGACGAAAAGTCCTTAGCCAACAAAAGGAAATCGCCCAGCAACATGTAGAAAGAGTGTCCAGAGAAGGACCTGTACAAGCTTCCCACAGCTTTATGCAGAACAGCCTGAATCTGGAAACAGCCCAAACATCCGTCAGCGGTGAATGGATAAACAAAGCGGGGTGCATCTCTACAATTTACTCAGCAATAGAGAGTACAAACTATTGATGCATGGCTCTCAAAAGCATTATGCCCAGTTGAAGGGGTCTATGTGACACTCTAGAGAAAGCAAAACGTGGGGACAAAAATCAGGTCAGGGGTTACAAACGGGGCAGGGGGGGACCTACCAACGTGACTGGGGAACTTTTGGGGTGATGGAAATGTTCTACATCTTAACTGCAGTAGTGGTGGTTACGCAACTGTAAAATTTGTCAAAACTCACTGAACTATATATACACTTTAAAAGAATTTTACTAGATGTAAATTATATCGCATTTTTTAAAAAAAGGCCAGCAATTTTAGCCAGCTTGGACAAAGACACCAACTTTACAAAAGTAGCAGAAGGTCTAAGTCTACAAATATAGGCGAACATCTCGTCTGCGGCGCCCAGCGTGACTTTGATGAGAGAAAGCCAAGTCTGACAAGGTGTTATCCAGGACAAGCGGGGAGTCGGGATGAGGCTGCCATGGCAGCAGGACAACTTCCGGGAAATCGTGCCTATTTCTACTGGCCTCCAAAGCCAGGCTTAACAACGGCGGCCCCTCTCGTACAGGCAGGTCAGGCTGCAACAGAGGATCAGGGCCGCACGGGGAGGACAAGCCGGAAAGCTGGGGCGGGGAACCAGAGTGCCAGCGCCGCGCAGCCGCCTTCCGTGAAAGCGGGGCAAAGATCACACGCTTTCAGAGGCCACAGAAAGCAAACAAAGCAAAACAGTCAAATGATAAAAGCAAGAAGACGTGAGGGTGAAACACTTCAGACTGACTATGCCATCTTCTTAATCCTACTGAGGGGCTCCACGTTTATTCACTTCCATGTTCATTCATTCATTAACCCAAGTACTGGGTTTCCTAAGACAGGCCAGGCTATGCACTGTTCCTGGTGAGAAAATACACAAGAGCTGCCCTTGGGAGGGTCTATCCCAGGGAAGGAGACAAGCAAAATGAAGAAGTTGAATGTGCAGTCCTGAGGTGAATACACAGGAGAAGGGGGTACCCGAGAGGAGGTGGGGTGAGAAATCCATTTGTATCCCAATAAACGATGCAATCCCAAGGTTTAGCTGTTCAAATCCCAGTGCAGATACTGGCACATGATTTGGGCACCGGCTTCAAGGAACCTAGAACACAAGTCTCCAGCGTAGCACCATGCGGGAGGGAGGCCAGTGAGACCAGAGAGGAGGGAGAAGTTAATTCAGCAGGGCGGCACACCTGACCCGGACAAGCACTCCCAGGGCACAAGAGAGTGTGCTGGTGGTGGACGCTGGTGTTGGCGGCTGTGCATAGTGAGGCATTAGAAGACAAGAGCTCAGAAAACAGCTGCTCACAGGCAGAAATAAAAGGAACAGAAAAGCCCTAGAATGTGGGGCCGCATATGCTTGCAAAAGCCAGGTCCTTCTAGAACCTTAAGAGCAGACTCACAAGCCCCTTCAGGCCCACAGCCACTAACACACCTCTGAGCCAAAGAGCTGACTAAGGCTATGGCCTTCCCATGTAAGCCTGAAGACCTTAAGAATGCCTCCATTCAGCTGAGGCAAGAAATCAAGAAAAAACAGGGTGGGGAAACCCAGACTTGGGAAGTGCGTCTGGGAAAATATTTCAGGTGAGATACCAGCACATGGAACTGGCCAGGACCAAACACTCTAAGAGCCTCTGAGCTTTCCAGCAAACTGCATTGCCAAAGAAATCTAAAGGCCAGACTAAAAAAAAAGCCAAAAGACATCCTTTGAGCCCCGTAAGCTTGCTGATCAAGTTGTGAGACCAAGGAGGGCAGGTCCCCACTACCTCCTGCAGGTGTGGACAGAATACCAAAAGGAAGACCCCAGAGAGTGGAGCAAGGGACCAGAAGATGGTACAAGAGCAGTTTCCTTCCAGAAAGCTAACCCAAATTAATTATTTCACTGTCCAGTTAGCTCTGTGATCCACAGGGTAAGAAAGCCAACAAGCCCACGCACTCTGTCCTGGGCACTCACCGATGGCTGGTCGAGGCCACTGTGCCTCTCCTCCTTTTCCACAGTCCGCCGGCAGTCCGGGCACACCCACAGTGGCAGGTGCAGCACGCTGTTGCCCTTGGGAGCCATGGAGAGGGCCAATTTGCTCGCAGTCTTAATTCCACTCTCTAAGAACGAAGCGTCTTTCCGCTCACTTCTGCACAGAAGACAATAATCTCCAGCGGGGTAGGGTGGTGTTCTATGATTCATGCCAAAATTAAAAGGAGTCTGGAATATAAAAAAAAAATTCTGTTTTCAAAACATGATCCACAAAGCCAAGATCATTTAAAAATACAATATAGTTTTGAAATTACAATGTACATGTTTACATAAGCATCAAATAGGGAATTTGTTAAATAAAACGGTATCTAGTAGTAAACTAGAAACTCCTAATACTTTGAATAAAGAGAAGGACCATAAAGAATATCTTAGTAAAAGAAAACTGTCCAATTAGCCCCTTCGTCCAGATATTTGTATTACTCCCCCTACACGCTGAGAAGTGTCCATCTCAGTTTTCACACGGAGGACACCAGGACTCTTGACTATCGGAAGAGTTTAAAGCCACTATTCCAGAGGTGTGTGCACACAAGGGCTCACACCCAAGGCAGTTATTCTGGCTTAAGTGTGTGTGTACAGATCCCAACCACGTCAGAGGTGGTGTTCCAGTTCTAGAAGCAAGATAAACATCAGGAGTCTGGTGGCACCACACATCCAAGACCCTGTCTCCCTTCCGGCTCAGCATCACTTCTGCTCAATTCATCTCCAGCTACCCAATTTCAATGTCTGCTTTTTCAAATAGGTAAGAGGCAAGATCATTACCCTCGATTCTCATCAAAAGATTATCAATCACCCTATCGGAAAAGGAAAATTAGCCTTAAAAACACACAAACAAGTTCCACAGATTTAAAACAGGCCTGGAGTCACAAGGTTAGCAAGCAGGGGCCAAAACTTTAATCCAAATCCATGTGAGCCCAAGATGGGTCGTCTGCACAGAGGAACCATCCTGCGAATCCTGAAGAGAGGTTCAAGAGAGGTTCACCTGAGCAGCAGGTGAGCAGGGAAGCTGGGCATGGCCTTCCAGAGGCGGGCACAACTCTGTTAAGGTTCCAAGCCAGAGCACATGTGGGATCAAGGTGACAAAAATCCCCGAGGCGTCTGCTGCTGTCCCCAGCCATGGTACACGTCGGGTGCAAAGGTGGACCAGGACCAATGCGAAGGTTATTTTACAAAGTCTCCAGTTCCACTCAGAGGCTCCTCCAATACCTTACCCAGTTATGCCCAGACAGCAGCCCAGCTCTTCCCTTGGCCCCCGGCTCTCTCCCTGTTCTCCTGCACCAAGGCTCACGTAGGTGTTTGGCTGTGCTTATTAGCTGGACTACAAGTGTACCTTTCCACAACTGGCTCTGCAGCTGAACGAGCACCCCCAAGAGCCCCAGGCTCCGTCTCTAAAGCCCAGGATGGCTGGCAGGTGGGTCAGGTGCTTACATGGCGGGGGGGGGGGGGAACACGCTGAATGAATAAATGAACAAATGAGTAACTAGAAGAGTGAATAACAGCACCAGTACAACTTGCACATATACTCTTACCTGCTTTTATAATCCAGTAACCAAAACTGCTTACACCTGTCACATCTGCAGCTTCCATGGATTTAACCAAACCCAGCTCAGCAGCCATTTGAATGTCTGGGCTGTGAGGCGAGGGAACCGAGTACTATATCCCAGAGAGTGATATTCTAGAAAGCTCCAGACTACTCCTCAAACCACGAATACCGTGAGAGGAGCGGTCTTTCTCTGTCCCAACAGATCCAAGATGTAGAAATTAGACAATTTCCAAAATCACACTGATTTAACCCTATTTAGTAAAACCATCTCTTGTCCCTAAGCCTAGGAAAAAAACAAACAAACAAACACCCCATCATCAATAGAACAGCCACAGCCTTCAGATCTTTCAGAAAAGGAGCTGCTGGGCTTCAAGGTTACAAAGTCTCCAAGCCAGAGATTACAAGAGTCAGAGCTGACCTGAGGGTAACCAGTTCAGCTCCAGATCATCTGTCCATCCGCCCACCAGTCAGCCCGTCTGTCCAGTATTTATTGGGAGCCACCATGTGCCAAGGCACTTGTCCAAGCACTGGGGACACAGCAATAACTAAAAGAAAGTTCTCTGCCCACAGGGAACTAATATCCCCGTCAAACACAAAGACTAATCAGACAAGGAAAAAATACCAAACATTAGACAGTGATCACTGAGAAGGAAAAAAACATAGAGCAGGCAGGAGTGTCTGGGGTTGGGGACAGTGCCTTCCCATTTAGGATAGCCAATGAGAACTTCCTCGAGGAGACACCTGATGTCTGGGACTGGTAGAAGCCGCACAGGTACCCGCAGAGGTACCCGGGAGAGGGACATTCCTGAGAGCAGATAGAAAGGCCCTGGGGCAGGAGGCCAGAGGGGGAAGGGGGAAGTGCTACCAGGGCCATGAGGCTGTATGTGGGGAAGAGATGAGATGGGGGCGGGAGATCAGAGAGAGCTGACAAGACTGCTAAGGAAGCACATGTTGGGGACAAGCGGAGGAGAAAAGGCAGAAAACAAGTCTTCCCTGGACCGAGTGCAGGGAAGAGCCCTGAGAGGAGGAAGCCCTCTGCCATAAACGTTTGAAATACACGCTGTGCCAGGCATCCTGACAGGTTAGATCACAGAAGCAACTGCGAATAGCCCAAAGGGCCTGCTGGCTCCAGAGAGACATCAGATGGGCAAACTCAGACATAAGCACCTGCCATCCAGTGGCAGTAAGTAGTCCACGAAGAAAATCAAGTCAGCGAGGGTACAGAGCAGATCTGCAAAGAGGAGGCATGTTAACAGGGGTGAGGCAGAGCTGAGGCTGAACAGAAACACACAGAGCTGCAAGCAGAGGCACCAAGTGCGGGCGTTTGCGGGCTGGAGGGCAAGATGAAGGCTGGGGGGCACTGCCCGAGCAAGGGGGCAGGCGGGGGCTGCTCATCCAGGCTGTGAGCCAGGGGAAGAGACTGAAGGTTTCTCGGAAGGGCAGGTACGAGCCAGCTGGCATCTGAAAAAGAAACTTCACTGTGTCAAAAATGAAGTCTGGCAGAGGTAACGCTGTTCCAGGCAGGTCCAGGCACAGGCAGGAGCCATGGAGGAACAGAGCGGTCAGACTCAGGAGTGCTGAAGGCAGAGCCACAGGATTCTCCTGCCAATGGACCCAAGGATGTGATGAGGACAGGTCTGACCGCCCGGGCAGTGGGCAGGCCACCAACAGGGGTGCCAAACACAGCCAGATAGGCTGGGGCAGTGGCAAGAACCAAGGGTTTGCTGTAGATGTTGTACATATGAAGTCTGTGTTAAACAACCAAGCAATGTGGTGGGCTCGTTCTGCACAAGTAAGACACTCAGGGAACAGGCTCCAGCGGGATAGAGCATTCGGGATCACCAGGGCATTTGATATGTAAAGCCACGAAGCTAGACCAGATGATCCATGGAGAGAGGGTAGGCAATGTCCTGAACCAAAGTCAAAACTTTTCAACACTTGACCAATGTGCCCGTATGAAGCTAGTAGCAACCTCTACTACTCACGCCTCAGATGAAGCAAGTAACAGATTACTACAAGATACGCACATGTGCATACTACAACACCTGATTAAAATTCAAATTAGCCAAATACTCGTGCCTCACTGCACGGTTACTCTCCTGTGATAAAATGGGAGGTACAAATATAAACTCCACTGATTCTTTTAAAAGCATTTACAGCTGTACTGAAGTATAACCAGGTACAATAAGCTGAAGATATCTGAAGAATTCAATCTGAACAGTCCTGACATACATATACACACCTGTGAAACCACAGTTATCAAGAAAATGAACATTACCATTACCCCCCAAGTTTCCTTGTGCCCCTGTACCCCCTTCCTCCTCACACCGCTCTCTTCCTACCCCCACTCACAGGTGACCACTGGACTGAGTTCTATCCATTACTATGCAACTTCTAGAACTGTATGTAAGTCGGGGCGCCTGGGTGGCTCAGTCGTTAAGCGGCTTCCTTCGGCTCAGGTCATGATCCCAGGTCCTGGGATGGAGCCCATTTCCGGCTCCCCGCTCAGCAGGCAGTCTGCTTCTCCTTCTCGCTCTCCCCGTTTGGGCTCTCTCTCTCAAACAAATAAAATAATAATAATAGTAAAAGAATGTAAGTTGTATCACACAACATACTCTTTTTGTCTGGCTTCTTTCGTCAAGTATCTTCATTTGGAGATGATTCCCAGGTATGTATCAGGAGTTGGTTTCTTTTTACCACTGAGAGTATTCCATTATGTGGGTAAGCCACAACTTGTTTATCCACCCTCCCATTCAGACACATTTATTTCCGGTTTCTGGCTATTACAAATAGTAGCGGCTACGAACACTCATGGACGAATCTCGGGGTGGACACATGCTTTTGTTTTCCTTGCATAAATATCAAGGAATAGAATAACTGAGTCATATGGTAGGTACATGTCTAATTTCTAAGAAATTGCCAAATTTCTCCCAAAAAGCAGTGTTGGAGAGTTCCAATTAATCCATATACTCATCAACGTGGTGAGCCATTTTAATGACTTTGTGGTGCTTGCCTCACTGTGGTTTTCCCTAAGGATTTATTATGTTAAATATCTTTTCAGTCTTAAGCATTTTATTCAAATCTTTGGCCTGGCTTAAGGTTTATCAATTTTATTACTCTTCAAAGAGCTTTTAGGGGCACCTGGGTGGCTCAGTCGGTTAAGCGTCCAACTCTTGATCTCAGCTCAGGTCGTGACCTCAGGGCTGTGAGTTCAAGCTCCGCGCTGGCTCCACACTGGATGTGGAGCCTACTTAAAAAAAAAAAAAAAAAAAAAAAAAAAAATCAGCTTTTGGTTTTATGGATTTTCCATATTTAAAAAATGTTTGTTTTGTTGATTTTTGCTTTTATGATATTATTTAGCTTTTTTGGGTTACTTTGGGTACAACTGGCTCTTCGATTTTTTTACTTTCTTGTGGTGGAAGCCCAAGTCATTCAGCCCTTTCGCCTGCATAAAGAGGTGGCAACTGCTGTAAGTCTCTCTATAAGCAGCGCATTGGCAGCGCTTTGCAAATACTGATATGCTATGTTTTCATTCTCATTAGGTTCAAAATACTTTCTAATCACCCTCTTGATTTCTTCTTTGGTTCATAAGCGTTCAACATGTGGTATGGTTTCCTCATGTGTATGG